CTCCCGTGGTGGTACTCACAAAACGTATTTTCATATAAGGTTATAGCCAAATATTCTTTAAAAGTAAAACAAATATATCCATGGGTTTCCTTTTAAGCAAATAGGGTTTATAAAATAATCCACGTAACTAAAACCTTTATAAAACATAACTTTTATAAATATACTAATAAAACATAACTTGTATAAAATAGATTTTGGTAAGTCAAAATATAAGTAAAATACATTTTGGTAACTCAAGGTATAATATAACTCACCTTAACTTTAATACCTTATTATTTCTTTTCACTATCAAAGATCTTCTTAACTTCCACTTATTTTTCCTCTCTTTCTTTTCCTCTGTTCTTTCTTTCTTCCTTTCTCTTCCTTTTCTTTTTCCTTCTTTCTTTTCTCTTACTGAGTCAACTTCTCCCTACTTATACAAATTATATTTGTGAGCCCCAAGCCAACAACCACGTGTCGCTTCCCTGTTAATCTTCATTAATTCAAGTCTATCTAAATTAGGTCAAGCTTATCAAAACTTACTTATTAATACTTTGACTAATAAATTATATTATTTTACAAAATAATACATATTAATACAAAATAAATCATATATTTTTTTAATTAAATAATATTAGTATAAATTCTACAAAATAATTAAAAATCTGGGTTGTTACACTGACACAAGCAGCTGCTGACACAAGCAGCTGGATTGTGCAGTGTACTTGCTGTCCCTTTTCAATTTTTTTTTTAATGGCATGTGTGGCTTAGAAGTGTGCCATGTCATCAAACCACTTGGGATGTGTGGCTGCACAGTGTTGTGCAGCACCGTTTTGCATTTCTTTTCTTTTTTTCTTTTTTTTTAAAATTTTTTTTTTCAATTGACACTTTTCCTGCCAAAAAGTGGTAAATAGTATGGACTTTTTTACTTTTTTAGTGACTTTTTGGCTTTTTTTTTTATGATGCCAAACTTGGCCTAAATTTGATTTGGGTTACGCCATTTGATGGGATTATTAGTAGTAACAACATTGACTCGTGAGTCGATATTTTAGAACATGTAGGCGAGTTCCAAGTGCCTTCGAGATTGGTGGAGTCCATTGTCTCAAAATTAGTTGTTGATGTTCTCGAGTGCAATAAATGAGTGTTGAAGAACATGATGTGATGGATGTTGTGCAGTCGTGTTAGCAACCAATGTTCTTGGAGGAAATTTTTAAGTTTACTTTGTGAGGATATTATAATTCTAAAGTAGGTGCTTTAGGATAATTAGTATGGTGGTAATTTGAGTATTTTTATGGGAATTTATGCTTGACCCATCGAGAGTGATTAATATTAACTTTTACAGTTACTTTTATGTATGAGTTAGAAATTGTGAAGATAGAAGGTATAGGAGAGTGTTTTGGGTTAAATTTGGTGTGTGTCGTGATGGTGTGGTTCATGTAATGGAAATGGAGATTATTTTGTATCCTTTGTCCTTTAGCTACAAGATTGTTTTGTATCCTTGGAGTAAGAGTTGTAAATCCCTTATATTGACCCTTCGTTTTGCTGTAAGTATGGTAACAATTCGTGTTGTTGGTATGTTGGTCTAATATTACCATTGAGTTCAGTTTGATGAGTGTATTTGACTTTAAGTGGTAAGTGTTTTCTTAATTAAAATGTATTTAGTTTTACCTAATAGAGGATGATTTCTTATTTTAATTTTGTTTCATCGTGTTTTGTGGTGATATTACCTTAAAAGAAGTTATTTGGCAAACCCCTCATCGGGGAATAAGTTGGTATGAAGTACTTTCGTTATTTTGTTAGTCTTGGAAATTGTTATGGAATGACTATTGTTGACATAGAAATTTTTTTTCCCAGAGTGAATGAGTGGCATCATAGCTTGTGGTTATATCTTTTAGAATTTGGGTAGAAGCGACTTGACTAAAGACTTCAAAGGAGATTTCAAAGTCACTACAACTATGAGTATTTGTTGGGAGTACCTTAGTATTGTTAGAATGTGCATCTAGTCTTCATGAATTCTTTGTGGACTCAAAGTGCATTGTGTGAGCATTTGGGTAAATTCTATGTTGGAGTGAAATTGTGTGGGTGGATGTAGACAAGTTTGCGTAAACTGTTAGTCAGTTCATCGAGTGAAAGCAATAGAGTGGATAGGTAAAAATAATACAGAAATTGCTTGGTTGGGCAATTAAAGTTGTCGCTGAGAATTTTCGAGTAGTGTGTTTGTCATGATTGCATTATGTTTCATAAGGGTTGGTGTTTCTTGTTGTTCAAGTGAAGCAGTTGAGGCTAAGGTGATCTGTGAATTTTGTTTTTGGAATAATTCAGGAAAGAATATGATTGTACTAGGGGATGAGTGGAGGTTCTCATGGGATGAAATATTTGAAGTCATTGCTAGTGATAGTTTTATTTAATTGGGTAACCGCATATGAATTCATTTTAATATTGAAATGAGTTAGTTGCCGTGTGATGGTTACGATTACAAAATATATCATTGAATTGTGTCTTTAAAGGGAGGGTGCTCTTATTGGTTAAGAGTCTTGAGATAATCACTTTGGATGGAAGTAAATTATTGTACTAGATTATGGAAAAAAAAATTGTTTATGGTGAGTCATCTTTAATGGTGTGTAATAGTTGTATACTTTCTGAGTGCTCTTCAAAGTAGTGGGATTCTTTTGTTGTTGTGACCTGTTGAGTTAGTTGTGTGGAGTAAGCAAATTTTGTGGGTGTGTTTGAACGTGTTCAAGTGAGATTGCGAGTACGGTTGTATTCCAATTGCGGGTTCGATAGATTTTGATAACCTCTTATATGTTGCAAGAATCACTTACATTTTCCCTTCTATTATAAATTGTTGTCCAAATTCTAGTACAAGTGGTTTTAAGTTTAGGGGTGGCTTTTTTGGAACAATGTATCTTAATATCATGGATAGCTGGTGGGGGTAGAAATTTTGTTTTTGAGTCTATTGAAAATTTGTTACTTCATATTGGTAAAATAATTTTGCGGATGTAATTAGAATGAGATGTTATCACGATTGTAGGGCCGATTAGATTAGACCGTTCGTCATTCTTGTTTGATTCAAGCGATAAGAAATAGTAGTACCATCATTCATGAGTTATTATTGTGTTTACAACTCTATGATTAAAGTGAGTTTGAGAGTTTCGATTTCGGTTACGATGTCTTTTACTATGGAAGGTAAGAGAGCGTTAAATTCTTGAGAGTGAACTTAGTACGTGTTTGGGGTATTGAAAGAATGTATCAATGTGAAAATGGTTATTGAGAGTTTAAGGCTCAAGTGATTATGATAAGAGTAAATTCCATTATTTTTTTTATCAAGGCGAATTTCGGGAACGAAATTCCTTAAGGGGGAAAGGTTATAACGAGTTGAATCAAATTGAATTTTTTGCCCTTATTATTATTGTTGTGGTGTCGTGAACCATTCTGTTTAAATTGGTGAAAATAAATTGAATTACTTCTTGATTTCGATTTCGTAAGGCCCGCTTGGCAAAATTATTATTTTTAGTTTTAGTTTTAGTTATAGTGATTCTTGGGTCTTGAGTAATAAATGAGATATAAATTCAATTTTTGAGTTTTATTTGATTAGTCCATACTTAATCATTTTTGTTCATATTTAATTATGTGAATGTTGGGGACCACCTTAAGTCTTTTAAAGTTAATTTATATTTTAATCTCAGTTGGAGATTTATTTTAAATTATTAAACTCTATTCATTTTGGACCTAATTGATTGAATCATGACCCTTTAGTAACCATATAATATTGTTGTTGTTGTTTTATTATTATTATTTGATTACCATAAAATAGTTATGAATATTTATGGTGTGCACCATTAAACGAAATATATTTTGTGTTGAGAAAATAATTATATCATTTTATTTCTTATGTTACAAAATATTATAATGTTCCTAAAATATACCTTTAGTTATATATATATTTATATATACACGGGTGTACATTGATTTGAAGGAAAAAAAAGAGTGTACATTGATTTGAAAAAAAAGAAAGAAAATAAAATGTGAGGAGGCAGCAAGCCCACGTTGGAGGGGGGGCTGCCCCCAATCCCAATTAACTTCACTTTCACTTCTTTCATTCTTCTTTTCAATTGCACAGCACACTCCCTCTCTCTCTTGGCTCTCGGCTCTCTCTCTCTGATTTTTTTTTGTTACTTCTATCATATAAAATCTTTGATCTACCAAAATCTATTAGGTTTTAGACCATAGTTCTTAAGATTGAAGTGAAGAACTTGGCGAGAGCAACGTTTTGACCGATAGAGATTGAAATCCAACACAATCAAAAATTGAGGTTTTTACTTGTTTTCTCTTCTAGCTTTTGAGGTAGGAATTTTTCCTACATTTCTTTATGTACTTTTACTTCATTATATGGAGCTTAGAGTTATATATAATTTAATTATAATTTTTGAAAATTTTGTAATTTATTTGCTTAACAGGGAAATTTTGCGAAAAATAAACAGTTGATGCCCAAATTGCAAAAGTGTAAACTTGGAATATGTTTGTAAGGTTATGAAAGATTTATGTTTTAAATTTGAACAAAAACGGACTTTGACTCGATCAGTTTTGAAATTTTTACCAGTTTACGACCAAAAGAGCATTTTTAAAGAAAACAAAAGAATTATGTTTAATTTTTAGGGCTTTTGATCAAAATAGGATGTCATAGTTGAATAATACTTGAAGAATGAGTTTGGAAAGAAAATAATGTTTTCTTGGGCATTAACGGTATTATTTTGCCTAATGTATCTGTTGGAATAAAACCGACACGGTTAGAAATGGATCTTAAGAGGTTACCAGACGTGATTGTGATATGAAAACTAGTGTAGTTATTCATATTTGATGAGATGTGGAATAAATTGTATTTATCGAAATTTTTAAAATTTAATTGTTTAAATATCTATTTAGAAATATCTGTTTTGGACTATCGGTGGAAGATAGCCATGATTGTTATAGAAATGCATGAGACTTAGATAAATTGAGCCACATTTCTCATTTGTTGCATTGGACATTGCATTACATTCATTTCATTGGAAATGTATTTGTTTTTTGATAAATGTTTGGAAATATATCTATTTGCGAAAAGATGAATACTTGATGAATCTAGGTAAGGGGTATAGAACCGTGCGGTTAAGTGTCGAGCCTTCTAGTTTACTAGTAAAAATGACAGTGGTAGTATATTAGTGTAACGACCCCATCACGTATAATGACTAGTACTTGATTAATTATGAGAATTTGAAATTTAATAGCCGAGTATTATAATTTAATTTGAGATTTATGAGAGTTGTGGGATCTGATTTATATATGATTCTATTAAAGAGTTATTTTGAAATTAGAAATTAAGAGTCCAAATGGCGTAAGGAAGTAAAATTGAGAAGTAGAATCAATTTAATTTTAATTACGAACCCATTTGGGAGTTTAATTAAATATTCGATTCAGTTTAGTAAAATTGAGATTCGATTAATTAGGTCATAATTGGAGTTGATTAAGTCATGAGGATTGAGAATTGTGGTTATTATAAATTAAATTTAATTATGATGTGTCCAATTTGAATATGTAATTTACTGATGGAAATTTGAATCTGATCAGAAATTGAGGGCCTAAATGATTTGGGAAATCAAAATTGATAATGATAATAAATTTAATTTAATATTTGGAGTCTTTTGGGAGTCTGACTAAAAATCTGATTTGGATTGATAAAATTAAATATAATTAATTGGGCCTTAATGGAAGTCAAACTAAACTAATTAATTATAATTAATGTAACTATGTGTTGATCAAGATTTATTAAGATCAAGTGTTAATTAAATTAACCCTACACATAAATTAATTTATGGAAGAATCTAGAATTAAAGGGTGTAAATGAGCATGGGTGTATTCAGCAAATTAGTGTTTGTGTATATGTGTGCGCACGTGTAAGGCTGTGGCTAAAAGGTGAACTGTGCATGTGTGTGCTGGTGAGTTCAAGATGAGGGTAATTTCCTTGGGGCCAAAACACACATTCGGTGAGGTGAAGAAAAAGAGTTAAGGGAATTTAGAGAGAGAGAGAAACAGCCGAGAGAGAGGGAGAGTGTAAAAAAAAAAAAAATTCTTGGAACTCATTTGCTGGAAATTGAGTAGGAAAGCTAAGGGAAAAGTTAGGGAAAAGTGGAGAACTGAAGAAAAGTTCAAGAATTGGCCATGAAATTCATCAATTTGAAGACTTAAGGTAAGAAATTGAGACTTAAATTTTGTAGATAATTTACTCACAAGCTAAAATTAAAGGGTAATTGGGTTTAATTTCATGACATAAGAAAGGAATGTAGAAGATTTGAGTTAAGTGTGATAATTAAGAAATTGATGTTGTGATTAAATGTTTGAGTTTGATTTTCTTCATCCTTCACATATTTGAAGTTTATGATTACATGCATTGTAAATTTTCAAGATTTTAGAATTTAATTCATATTTTAAAGTTTACGAGCTTGAGATTAAATTGCAATATAAATTAAGAAGTCAAATTATAAATTGAGCTTGATAATGGAAAAATTGGTTGGATTTGATAAATGTTTTATACATGCATCATGGATTTTGAGGAATTTAAGGTAAACAATTTCATGTTTTGAAGAGAAGAGGGAAGAAATTTTATAAGAAAAATTAAGTTTATGGAAATTTTGGGGTTAATCCTAAAGTTAGACAAGTTCTTGATTTTACTATGAAAGACAGGAATTGGTTTAATTTTAATTTAAAAGTTTTATTCAAATTAAAGAGTATGAGTTTATGGAAGATTAAACATTGATTTAATTTTGAATATAGAAATAATTAGTTTTAATCTCAATGTCACACATGCAAATACTTTCCTAAGAGTCATATAACTTCAATTTCATGTACATTAAAAGGAATTAGTAAAATGGTGTAGAAATTGAATTAGATTCAAAATCATAGAAGTTAATTTGAAAATAACCATTTTGGGTTTGAATTTATTTGTCTTATATGAAATTGAGTTTCAATTACACATGTATCATGAATTTGCAAGAGTTTTGGAAGCCTAATTCATGTTTTAAAATTTGTGGGTTTGATGGGGAGAAAATGAGTTAAAACTAAATTTGGACAAGTGGAGCATGATTTTGAATAAATGATTTCTAATTGAGAGTGTTAACTAAATTATACAATGATTCTCCATTTTTGTGTACCAAAATACATATTTTGAGGCTTTGAACATTAAATTTGAACTTCAATTACAATTCTAGAAATTCAAGAATTTACGCTGTCCGCTCGAGCGAGGAAAGTCTCGCTCGAGCATGAAAATCGAGCTCCCAGAAGTTTTTCAAACTTTACAATCCGCTCAAGCGACCAAAGTGGCGCTCGAGCGGAGACCCCATTTTCAGCATATTTTGGAAAGTTGCATTTAGTTCACATTTTTATTCTCATCTCTTTCTAAAGCATTCTAGACGTGATTTATGACTCAATAAAGATTAATGAGCTACCAATCAACATAGATTAGTTAGTTAAAGAATGAATCATTGATCTAGTGGTAATTGTTTAAGAAGCCAAGTAAAGGATCAATCTATTTGGAAAGAAAGGACTTAATAATGAAAGAATATGTGAAATAAGAACCCGGTTTATTTAAATGAGAAAGAATAAGCATAGTAGAACTTCGGACTATTTAGACGGAAAAAAAGACAAGAAAAGTCAAGTTTGATCAAGGAAGTAATATTATATTTCAATGTGTATATGTTATGTGCTTGTGTAGGTCATGCGCTATTGCCTGCCTGATTGTGATCTGTCTGATCTGCTTCTGCAACTATCTGTGAGTAATAACTTTGTAAAGTTATGTTCAATGTTAAATATTTTTTGGACATTATGACATCAAATGATTAGTCTTCTAAAATGCTACGTTATGTTTTGAATGAATGAATGATTGTCCAAGATTTTGAAAGTTATTCGTGGCATCCTTAGCATCATATAATATGCGTCCCTTCATAGGTCATTAGGTCCCTTCATGGGTCATCAGAAACATCTCTGTGCACATGAGTCATTGGAATGCCTTTAAGGCCGTCCCTTTATGGGTCATCGGATTTGTTAACGCTAACGGATGTATCACGTATGATTATATGCGAAGTCTGAATATGGAAATGATTATGAGTATGTATATGAATCTGTTTCTGATTTGGAATCTGAATATGCGTAAGACTCTGTTTCTGATAAGAATTTGATTTTTAACTCTGTGATGGACATTATTCATTAAATCCTTTACTCTGTTATTATTCACTGGGCCCCAGCTCATTGTTTATATATATGTATGTAGGTGATCAGGCGCATGACCAAGCTCAGAGGCGTCTGCCTAGAATCAGTTCTTAACAGCCAACCTATGTGCCTTCCATGGAGGTTCCGGTCATGACTAGTGGTTATGGCCAAGTGCATAAGTTGAAGTTTTATTTTCCTGTCCAGCTAGACAAGTCCTTGTGTATTGCGTGAATAAGGCTAAGTCCCTTTTGTTAGCTTTTATATGTATATGTGGAAGCCGAATAATGGCAAAATCAGAAGGTGCGTACCTTAGAAAACTGATATTAATCGGCTGTATCCTACGAGAATGGGAAGTCGAATATAATATATGTGCCGAATAGGTGTAGATCCTTAGAGCCGAATAAGAGAAAGGACAATGATTAAAAAGTAGGCCCTGGCCCCGAGGATCAAAAGGAACAGGTATAAATACAGGAACAATGGATTGAGAAAGATATGTAAGAATCACTTCACTTAACTTAGTAAACAAGCTATCCTGAGTGTCTGAACTGACTTGTCCGTCGGAGTGCTAATTCCGGCACCCCCGATCGGAGTGTTTGTATCTTTTCAGGTGACTAGCTGAGGATCACTAGCGTCTCCCAGGATCTGAAGAGTATTTCCAAACCACTTCTCCACAGTATATATATGATGATGTGTATATAACTATATAAAAAGTTTAAAATTTTTCTGTCTCACATAAGTCTGCATAGCTCAATGGATGATGTATATTTGTTATATGCTTTCGCTAGCCCCTAATATTATGTTAATTTGACTCAAAGGCCTTCGGTAATCCCAAGATTACTTGCCGGTTACGATGTTAAACCTATAGGGACGGGTTTGGATCGTGACAATTAGGGCCTACTTGCAGACACTTACCTAGAAATTTACGGAGCTTGTATTCATGTAACAGATATGGTTTAAAATAGAAATGGTTTTATATCTGTTGTTGCATCTCACCATTGCATGCTTTATAAAAAGAGAGATAAACTATTTTATCATGAGCATGGCATGAACATACTCCTCTTTAGTCTTGTAATGGTCCATATGTTGTGTAGTATATCTCTACTAGGCTGTGGTTCACTCTATAAGGGAAATCATTTTCAGGTATATGTGATATGCCTCCGCTAAGGCACTGACTTGGGAGGACTCGGAACTGAGGCTTCGTTTTTGTTTTATTGTTATTTGTTGAATGTAAGCTTAGGGCTGTATTTGCGTTGAGTTGAAACTCCATGTTGTATAACTAAGGATGTTCTTGGATAAATTTGTAAGCCTGTAGGACACTCATTATCTGTTTGGCTTCTATTTCATACTTGTTGTAAAATGCATGCTTGGGATTGGAACTGGAGCATTGAGATGTGAACAACATGCATTTGGCATTTGGGATTAAATGGAATTGGATGTATGAAATAGTTAGCTATAAATATGTGTTTGTTTATCAGGTGGGTTTGTTGTATAAATAGATAGACCTTGCCGAAATTTTTGGGTTGTTACAGAATCTAAAAAAACCCAATGGTGCTTGGGTCTCCCCCTCTCTCTCTCTTTTTCTCTCTCCCTCTGTTTTTACCTTTGAGCTCTTTAGCACAAATATATACGTATATATACACATGCAATAATGGAAAAAGAAGAAACCAAGATTTTTTTTTTATAGATTTATAACGTATTTTTTAAACTTTAATCAGAATTTCAAAGTTTAGAGAACTAGAAAATTAACAGTCCAGATGCTAATGCCTTTAGTATTGCATCCAATAGACTGTTTCTTCAATCCATTTACAGATAAATGATGAATCTTTTTACATCCCAAGATTGAATTAAAGGTCAAGATAGAGAACTCACTTAGAACCCAAATTTCCAATACTCATTCCCTGCACAACAAAGTTCAACAAAATCAAAAACCCATTTCAAATTAAGAAATAGATTGAGTAGAAATAATATAGAAAGCATTTTGCACAACACCCACTTGTCATAATTTTATACCTACCATTATCAAACTCATGCCATAAAGGATGTACCGTTCCAACTGGCTCAAGCAAACAAAGAATAAATAAATAAAAATTATTTTGGTTCAAAATGCATCCAAAACATAAAAATTAATAATTTATCAAAAAAAATTGAAAACCCACCAACCTTGAACCAACCAGCCCAACCAAATTAAGAATATACACAACACAGATTCCCAACCAGCCTATCTTTCAGATCTCATCTCCCATTCGATTTTTCATTTTTTTCTAATCAAAATTAAATCTTTGTAATCAAAATCAAAAATCAAAAATTGAACCCTAAAAAAGCCAAAAAAAAAATGAGGATAAGAGAGAGAAAGAGGGGCATGAAATCGAAGATCTACCCTCTAGTTCTTCTCAGCTTTGTTAAGGACCTCTTGTCACAACCCAAACCTGCCCCTATAGGTTTAGCGTTATGACCGGCCAGTAATCCGAGATTACCAAAGGCCTGCTTAGTGGTAACACAATAATAGGGGCTGGCGGAAGCTTGTAAATAATAAAATATAACGTCTAATGAGCTGTGAGGACTTAAATGTAACAAAACGACTTTCATATATTTATATACACATCGGTCCAAGCATTAAGCTTATGTACAAAAACAAAATATAATTAGGGATTAAATCCTATTAACAAAACCAGTCTTAACTTCAGACTATGATAACATTCAGAACTAGTCTTAGTAACGTTCAAAATAGAAGGGTGAACTCTAAGCCACCCATGAAGCCTTGAAGTTTGTCTCAGTAGGAACCTCAAAGTGAGGCACAAAAGTTGACTTGACAAAACACAGTTTAGGTTGACGCCAATAAGTCCGCTCTTGCACTTGATCACCTACATATAAATGTAAAACAATGAGTTAGAGCCCAGTGAATAACAACTGTGTAAATGGGTTATGAATGATATCCTTACAGTCTTTGAAACAATCGATTAACATTAGAACATTTTCAATTAATATCATTTGTCAATCAATCATTCAATTCGATCAAGTCAATCCATCATATTCATGAGTCCTACGTGGTACATCCAATAGCAACAATACACTAGGTCTTAAAAGACCGAACAATCAATTGATGGCCATCATACAATAACAATAGTTCCAAGATTTGGAACTGACAGAGATCTCTGTAACAATAATGATAACAATATCAATAACAATAGCAATATACTATGGATGCCACGAATACGGTTCAAATAGGATCATCATTCAATCGATAAAAAGTATCATTTCATAAGCGATATGATTTATCAATCAGAAAATAAACACGATTGAACATATCTTACAACAGTGTTACTCATAGCTTACTGGGCTATGGGCAGGCTAGACAGCGCCCCTGGGTGCCAAACCTACACAGTTGCAGAACGAACACACATAATAAATGAGTTAGACAATCGGGAGGAAGAGAGGGCCGGCCATAGTAAGAGAAAGGGAGAGGAATTGTGCTAATTTGGCTTAAAGCTTGGAAGTTTTGGAGAGTTAGCTCAAGAATTGACTAGGGCTTAGAAGATCAAAGCTTCTAGGTGAGTAATTCTTGGATTATAGTTTGTAACTTTTGTGTTCAAGCTAATTTGGTGATCAAGAGTGAGATTGAAATGAAATTGTGTTGGATTTGTTGAATTGAAGCTTAATATGTGCATGCATGTAAAGACTTACCTTGAAATTGTATGTTTGTGCATGTTTGAAAACAAATGTGTATAATCCATGTGAAATGTTAAAGGGAACTCATGTTTTGATTGCTATTTGTGTTGTCTAAGTTGAGAATGTGGCTAATTCATCACATGCATGTAGATAAATCAAGAGATTGAGCTTCATAATGTTATAATCTTGCATTGGTGCCATGTTGGTATGATTATATTTGAGATTTGAGCCATTGCATGCAAGTAATGTAGCTGGAAAATCGATTTGGAGCTCAAGAACACAACCTGGAATTTCCAGAATTTTGACTTCCGCTCGAGCGGAGAAATCGTGCTCCCAGCACTTTTTGCAGAGTTGGATGTCCGCTCGAGCGGGATATCTCACGCTCGAGCGGGGAGTTTTGTAGACAGGCCTTTCGCGCCAGCGCTCTATTCCACGCCCGAGCATATTTTTCATGCAACCAGTACTTTTGCAGGCCTTAACGGCCCGCTCGAGCGGGGAAGTTGACGCTCGAGCGGGGACCCTGTTCTCTGAAATTTTATATGCTCATTCTATGTTTTGTTTTCTGTTCTCTTTCACTTGTAAGCACTCATAGGCATGTGTTAAGCATTGTAAATGAGTTAATGAGATAAGAATAAAGCCTAAAGAGGAATATGTAAATTAAAGAACGGGTTGAATTGATAATGACCCTTTTGTGTTCATGGAATATGTAGGGTCAAGCTCCAGGGCGAGTCCATAAGCCGATCACTATGAGTAATATCGATATTCGAATAATTGTGAATGTCCAATTGTTTATTCCCTTATAAGCTTTATGATTTGCTGATTGGGATTGTGGACAAAAGTCTGACATAAAAATAATTGGACCTAAGGTCGTTTTGATAGAAATGAATGGACCAGAGGTCGTTTTGATAGAAATGAATAGATCAGAGGTCGTTTTGATAGAAATGAATGGACCTAAGGTCGTTTTGATAGAAATGAATGGACTAGAGGTCGTTTTGATAGAGATGAATGGACCAAAGGTCGTTTTGATAGTAATGAATGGACCAGAGGTCGTTTTGATAGAACTGACTGGACCGAAGGTCGTTTTGATGTACATGAACGGACCGAAGGCCGTTTTGACATATATGGATGGACCGAAGGTCGTTTTGACATGAATGAGTGGGCCGAAGGCCATTTTGACACGAATGAGTGGGCCGAAGGCCGTTTTGCCACGAATATATGGGCCGAAGGCCGTTATGACATAAATGAATGGGCCAAAGGCCAGTATGTTTGGAACTACAGTTACTTGATCTAAACCTTGCATAAATGTACATATGTTAAGTAGGAATATGAATTGGGCCCAAGGCCGTTTGGAGTAGGTTGTTCTACATATTATTTGTATGACTTCTGCATTTGATATTATTCACTGGGCTATCGCTCACGCTCATTCATGTGTTTGTAGGTGAGCCGAGGGAAGTCCAAACCCAGCCCCAGTGAAATCTGCCAGGAACGACATGAGTTTTGAGAAAGTCAGCCTTGTGTCTCACGCACGAGACCTATCCTTGCCATTTTGTTATGTAACTATATTTCGTCTTGTTGGCTAGGACTTTATGTATATTTGTAAATAGTCTGTCATGGGTGGACTTAGTTGGATGATCCTGTTGTTAAAGAATTTTATGGTACTGTACTTTTGACGTGGGTTATTAACGTATATGAGTATGGTTTGTTTTGAAGTGCATATAAGTACGGCTCTATGGA